AAAAAAAAAAAAAAGCATCTTACAGGTTGTCTACATCCTGGGTACAGGGTACACACTAATACAGTTTAATGTTCCCACTCTGTCTCTGGAGCAATAAGCCTAAAGGGAATGAGCCATGGAGCATTCTCTTAATTAAAATCGAAGATGAACTAAAATTCTAACCTCACCTAAAATAGCACAGGGAAATTACATCATAGATTTTATTTGCTCTCCAGATTACTGAAGGGGTAAATAGATACCCTGAGTCTTCAGCAAAGGGACACCATTAGCCTCCTTGGAAACATATTGTGGGTTAAAATAAATTTCCTAAGAACCACACATTTCTTTCTCCCTTAAGTGAATATCAGAATCCCTAATCCTAGTGAAAGTATTGAGCAATTATGTAAAACAGCAACAATGAACCCATTACCTGGATGTCCCCAATGCTCTGTTCCCTGTTGACATCATATCTAATGATGAAATCTCCCAAAATGCCATTCTGGGCGATCTTAGCTTGTTGCACCACACTAGGCTTAAAGGTGACTTTGGCAAAGGTTTCATTCTGGTTGATAATAGTAGAAGGAGGTGGTCCAGAACCATCTGCAAACAAGATATATATATTTTTGTATACATAATTAATAACTGGAGAGACAAATATTTTTGTATATATGCAATAAAAATAAAATAAGGACTGTTCTACATAGAGATTTAAACTTTTTTTATTGCAGGTTTGGATTCCATAGTAACTTCCAAGACTCTGTACTGATAATATATTAAAAAGCATGAGATACGTTATCATATTTCACCTTTATGCTTCCTTTTTAATCCTATGAGAAATTTTTAAACTTGCAAAAGTAGAGAGAACAGTAAAATGAACCCGTGTGGCAATCACCCAATTCTAACGATTACCAAGTTCATGAATCTTTGTATCTATGTATTCCCTCCCCATTTTTTAGTAGAATATTTCAAAACAAGCCCTAAATGTATTTCATCCATGAATACTTAAGTATGCATGTCCAAGAGCTTTCTTTTTAGCCTAGCCACTAAACTATTCTCATAGATACCAGAAAGAATACTCAATACCTTATCAACAAATATTCAGTCTGTGTTTAAATTTTCCTGATTCTACAAAAAATAACTTACAATCGCTGATTTGTTTCAAGTATCAACACGAAGTCCACATGTCACATTTGGTTTCTTAAACTTCTCATCTACAAGTGCTCCTCCCTTCCTCCCTCTTTCCCACAGTCACCTCGTTTTTGTTTGTTCATTTTTTAGAAACAATAAAATCACCTTAATTTGCTATTTTTTTTGTTTGTTTTGAAAGTCATATAGTATTTTTTGCAAAGTCCAACAAGGCTGGATGCCTCTGGATGTCGGAGTCCTGGGAACTGCTAAGAATTGCTGCCCTCTATGCGGGAGGGGCAGACTTCTCAGGCCATCATCCTGCGTTGGTTCTCCAGGTGGAGCTGACAAGACTGGCTGACAGGAAGTCTGAAGAGGTCAGGAGGTTTTCATGTTCCTGTGACAGAGAAAGGGGTGGGGGAGCGCACAGCCTGCCCCCACAGAGGTCTCACGCAGACCAAATCCAGCTCCAGCGCCTGTCTGTGGAGGTGTGTGGGTCCCAAGTATCCAGATACTAAAAAGTGGTCCTTGAACTGATTCCACGGACAGCTGCTTCCGCCACTGGGACTCCAGCCTAGAGCTGCTTTCCTTCAAGAGGAACTTGCAGTCCGTGAGAGGGAAGAGTGGGGGGTCACCAGGCCCACCCCTGATTGCCAAGAATCAGGATTGGAGATGAGATCTTTTGTTGGAGGGTTTCCTTCTTACCCCCCCTACCAACACACCACATACTTTTTTTCCAATGCTACATATCAGTCATAAATACATACTGGTCATTTCTTTTATGGAGTTTCTCACATTCTGCATCTTATCTTTTAAAGTGTTACTCTATTTTTGTGGTTTCCCACGTTGGCTAGACTCTAACATCATGGCACACTGATGATGCCCAGGCGCAAAGCTCATGTAATCAATCTAAGACACAGCCGGGTCATAGGAATTTAAAAATTCCCCTGTCATTACAATGTACTGTCAAGACTGAGAAAGCAGCCCCTTCCCTGCATTTCTGTGTGTTCTGGCAGATAAAACTAAAGACTTGGTTAGACTCAGGTTCAATGACATTGGCAAGAACACTTCATAGGTGCTGTTGAGTAGCTGCTACTTTATCACATCAGTCTGTAGTGTCTTAGGGTCTAACTTTCAATGTAGCAGATTGACTGTAGGTTCCAGGTGTGTCACCATGGATGTTATAAACTTCCACATCTATCTTTCCCTTAATAGTTTTATCACTCACTGCTATGCATTACTCTAGATTCACTAGTTCACCAGAGTTGAGAAAGGGTGATTTGGAATGCTACCATTCCTTCCATGTGGAATTATTCCATGAACAGCACCTCTCCCCTGTCTGTCCTTCAGTTACCCTAACATACTGTTTTTCCAGAAAGTTTATGAACCTTTTTCAAAAAACATTTCCCAAACCTTTCCCAGCACAAACTGTAGGATTTAAATTAGAATTCCAAAAAGATAAAACAGATAAATGGATTTTATCTAACTTAAAAGTTAGTGAAATGTCAGTGTAAACAAAGCATACTCTATTTCTCACTCCTGACTTTCATTTCCCATTAGAATACAGAGAATTGTTTACAAAACTACCCATCTTCATAAATCTAGATTTATTTTTATAATCTATATTTATATAGTGGTTTATAAGGTATTATACACATATTACTATATTTAAATTTAGATTTATAACATAGATTATTTACTGAAGAATTTTACATAAAAGGAATGCTAGTTTTATAAATGACCCTAGCAACAAAATTCTAATTTTTAAGATCTTTATGCGCCATAAAGAATGTGAAAAGGGAAGAGAGAGTTCTTAAACTTCATATATATAGAGACTTTTCATTTAGATACTGAATTGAAATTGGCTTAAAACCACTGCAAGGCATCTGATTATCTCTTTAGGTCTACGTGACTTGCTACCATGGAGTAAACTGGCCAGTAATTTTCCATCTCCTATTAACAAAATAAAACAGGAAATGAGGCATAAATTGCCAAGGTACTCTGTATTTAAGATTAAACTTCCTTCTACTCAGAGCTTATTAGACATTAACGTCCAAGAAAGCTTGCATATTTCCTTCAATAGAACAGAAAATTAATTTTCAGAGATAATTTATGAGCAACCTTAACAGGAACCACAAAGCAGAACTTCTATTATTTGCACTTATCAAGGGCAGGGATTTCAGAAAGAACCAGAGAGACAGCAAACAGTAAAGTTCATTCTTGTAGAAGACAGTTGTGTGAAAGCAGATTCCAACAGATCTGCTCCCCGAAGAAGGAGTTGAGGAATCTTCAATGGCAGGTTGACAACTTGATGTTGACAAGTGTCACTTTCCAGTTCACCTCATGGTTGATAGTGACACAGAATGATTAGAGAGAGAAAAGGAAAAGAGGCTGGAAGTGAAATGTCCTTTATTCGCAGGGGTCAGTCTCTCACTGGTTGATTATTGGCAAAGCACCAAGAATGAGAGGCAAGATAATACACCAGCTAAGAATTCAGGGGTCTCAGATGAGTCGGGAGTACCGGGATTCAAGTCTGACCACATCTCTCTTACTATTTAGGAGACCTTGGGCAGGTTACTGAATCTCAGTCATCTCACCTGTAAAATGAATTTATGATTGCCCAACTCATACTACTGAAAAGATTAAATGATGGGATGTACTTATGCTAGCTAATGGTATTATCAGACTTAACTACAAACAAAATAGAAGGGCCAGAGAATTAAATGTAGGGTAATACAACATGTCGAATTTGGAATACTGCATGAAAATAATATTATTTACAATATGCTTGACTCAACATGCTTGACTCATATCATTTTGAGGTAAAATATAAAATACAAGGGGTATATATTTTTTTAAAGATTTATTTATTTATGCAGAGATGGTGTGAGGATTCAACAGAGACAGAATGGGGAGCAAAACAGGCCAACTGACAAGGTACACTGCTGAGGGGAGCAGAGGGCAGGTCAGGAGAGGTCTGCCGTGCCAGGTGGGTCACCTCCAGGGCAGGAATCGAAGTCATGCTGAAGTGGCTTCTTAGAGCTGTGTTTTAACCCGCTGCACACCAGGGAGGGCCCACAAGGGGTATATTCTTTACGCTTCCATTTACATATATTTAGGAGTGGTTCCCTTTGGGTGGTGAGTACTGACTGGGTAAGAGGCAATAGAAGTTTTGAGGCTGATGAAAATACTCTGTCTTGATCAGGAATGAATGTATATGTATCTGAAGACATAGCTAGCTATCCATATACAATTTATTCTATGTGTGCCCCAATTTAAAAAATAATAAATTGAGAGTTGGATGGATCAAACAAGTATTCCCTGGCAAGCAACATAATATTATCTACCAACTGCCCCACCTCTGTCCTTCAGTCTATTTGTGCAGACATTTACAAGGGGATTAGATGTAGTCAGAGTAATTTCAGCTGCAGAATTAAGAGCAGGGACAGAGAGGTGGAAAAGCATTTCAGGGCAGTGTCATTTAGCTGGAGGTGAGGGCAGCTCTCATGATTCATCTTACTATAAGTGTTCAAGCAAAACCTGGAGGAGCCGATCACCTGCAAAGCAGTTCTCCAGAGGTGTTCTTGCACCAGCAGCAACAGTTTCACCTGGGAACTTGCCGCAAATGCAAATTCTTGAGCCCACCCCAGAAACAGTCAAAAACTCTGGCAGTAGGATTAAGAAATCTGTATTTTTAACAAGACAGCTAGGTGATTCTATTCCAATATAAAGATGATGGTCACCTGTTTTAGATGGATAAAACTAGGAGGCACCAGATTATCTCTAAAATTCCACATTAATTAGATCTAACTTCCTTTATACTGTCAGCATGTGCCTACTTTGCTTTTTACAACTACCCTCAATTAATACCATCATAGTTAAATGAAAGCACTGAGCATTAAAATGTATAATTTTTCTCTTCACAATTCATTTGACTAGGCTCTTTGATATAGACCATGAGAAAGGGCAGTGTATTATTATTTGGTTTCCTGTTGATCCCTGGTGTTTCCTAGTTCATGATGAAAATTCATGAGATTCATCTAAATGGGCTCATTTTACAAACCAAAGTGATTCCAAGAAGCCTCGTTCTTCAGGCTGACTCCTACCCATTGAGTACAAGCGTGACCTCATGAATTCTCCACTATCTATCAAGGGGGAAAAATTTCAAAGTGCTATCTGTCGAAAATAAGATCCTCTTTTTGTTAGACGAGAAATAAATCTTTTAATCAATGAGGTTATTATCGGCTGCCCCACAATTACTAACAAAATCCCAAATACCATTTAGCTCTTCTTTACTCTGAATTGGGGTTCACATTGACCTCCACAAGAGGTCTTATGCACAATGAGATTCCTCAGCAGCACCTCAGCTGTCAAAGGAAGTGTCCTAAAGACAACGAAGAGCTCAAGGGAAGAGCTGACGACAGGCCAAAAAGGACGAAAATTCTGACTTACATTTCCCACAAGGGCCCACATCA